AGCCTTTAGGGAGGTGGAGTGGTCTGTCCACGGCACAGCTTCTCCAAGTGCGGCCCCTGTAACAACAGCATCAGTGCCTCCTGGACAGGCGAGCCCGACCTCACACCCACTGTGGCACAAACTCGGGCTCGACTCAGAAATCTGTGCTTGACAAGTCTTCACAATTAAGGGATGTGGCATTTTCCAGTTAACCATCAGGCGCTGGGCCCCATGTTTAGGCTTTACATCCTCATCCTCGCCATCACAACCCAGAACAGGTGTCACCTTTACTGTACGCTAAGCAGTTCTCACCCTCGTTTAATTCTCACGACACCCCTAATGAGGACACACTGTTCCGATTCCCATTTCACGGACGAAGAACACTAATAAGACTTACAGCCGAGACCCAACTCCAGGTCCTGGAGCCCAGGACCTAAAGTCATTACTGTTCTTATTTATCTCAATAATCCTGAAAGTAACGTAATACGACACAGAGAAGCAACTCGGTTAACCAAGAGCCCAGAGCAACACAGAAAAAAGGGTTCATGTCAGTCTGATTCAGAACATCATACCCCTAGCCAGTCTGCTAATCTTTCTCAAACAAAAACAAAAGCTACAATCAAATGTTTATCAATCAAAGAAGGGGCCATCAAAGAAGGATGTACTTTTCTCTGAAAGGAGGAGAGAATGTCCACTTTGCATACGGCCCTGTCTAAAAACCAACGGAGTTTGTAGACTCAACAGGCTTCCATAGTCTTGGCAGCTCATGTCAAGAGCCTCAGGTGATCACTGACGTCATAACTAAGAGTGTCGGTTGCTAAATCAACAACAGGAGTCACTGTGCACTTACTCCCCATGTTGGACTTCTGTCCTTAATGAGTTGTACTATGAGAATTAATGGCAAAACGAGTCTTCAAACAGTTCTTTTTACTTTGTGTGTCTGTGTGGGTGCAAATAGTTGAAATCTCTACTTAGAATTAAGTTGATCTTCTGATCTTAAGTCAATTAAAAATGAATCTTAATGGAAAATGGAAGGGGAGAGGGAGTGAGAGGTGGGAAGGGAGTGGGGCAGGAGGGCAGGAACGGGGGTAAGAAACACTATTATCCCTAAAAGCTGTACATACGAAAATTCATGTTCATTAAATAAAAACCTTCAAAAATGTTTATCAATTACCCCATTTAACCTCCCTTTTACTGAATTCCTAATACAAGGGTTCTTCAAAAAGGTCAAGGCAGATGCATATTATGAAAAGACTATGCATGGATTTCAAAACATTATTGCAGAGGGTTAAGCTTGTAATTATAAAGTAAATTGAAAGTATGTTATTGTAAAAATTAAAAAAAAATCAGAAGGGAAGGAGGAGGCAAGGAGGTTGGAGGAAGGGAAGTATCACTATACTATAGAAACTATTTACACAAAATACCTGAAATTTGTGCCCTATACATAAATTGAAAGTAAAAAAGCAAATTATTGCACCAAGTTAATCTTTCAATTCCATTTTACATGAACTTTGTGCAGTACCTTCATAGTTCATTCTTCAGGTGAGTATTACTTTAGCAAACTGAATTAAACCAGTCAGAGTCTAGCTCTGCCTTTTGTAGGTATGACAGCAGTCATCAACTCACACTAAAACAGAAATATTAGGGGCTATTGCAAAAAAGGAGAAGGGGAAGAAACAGCAATGAAACATGATTTTATTATTCTCTGATTTCTGTACATTAACATTCAGACTTCAATTTTCTTTTGGGGGGGTTATTTATTTGAAAAGGTTAGAGAGAGAGGGAGAGACAAAGAGAGCTCTTCCATCTGCTGGTCCATTCCCCAGATGGCCACAGAGGCAGGGGCTGGGCCAGGTCAGAGCCAGGAGCCAGGAGCTTCATCCAGGTCTCCCACACTGGTGGCAGTGGCCCAAGCACTTGAGCCATCTTTCACGGCTTTCCCAGGTACATTAGCAGGGAGGTGGATTGTAAGTGGAGCAGTTCGGACTCAACTGGCACCAATATGGAATGTCAGCATTGTAGGTGATGGCTTAACCCACTCTGCCACAGTGCCAGCCTATACCTCAAATGTTTTGACAACATAAATTCAGTACCATATATTTTGCCTCTCAAATGCTAAACGTAAGATATTTCTTTGGGGCCAGTGCGCTGGCATCCCATATGGGCGCCGGTTGTAGTCTCAGCTACTCCTCCTCCTATCCAGCTCTTTGTTATGGCCTGGGAAAGCAGCAGCAGATGGCCCAAGTCCTTGGGCCCCTCCACCCACCTGGGAGACCCGGAAGAAGCTCCTGGCTCCTGTCTTCAAATCGGCACAGCTCCGGACATTACGGCCAATTGGGGAGTGAACCATCAGATGAAAGACCTCTCTATCTTTCTCTTTGTCCTCTCTCTGTGTAACTCTTTCAAGTAAAATAAATAAATCTTTAAATAAATTTCTTCCATTTTTTATAGTTCATAATGTTTTCCCAAATAAAAATTATGTTTGGTATTTTTTAAATAGAGATTCATTTTCTTCATTTGTTTTTTTTTTAAAGATTTATTTTATTTATTTGAAAGACAGAGTTACAGAGAAAGGTAGAGACACAGAGAGGTCTTCCATCCGCTGGTTCACTCCTCAGATGGCCACAACGGCTGGATCTGTGCCGATCCGAAGCCAGGAGCCAGGAGCTTCCTCTGGGTCTCCCATGCGGGTGCAGGGGCCCAAGGACTTGGGCCATCCTCCACTGCTTTCCCAGGCCACAGCAGAGAGCTGGATCAGAAGAGGAGCAGCCAGGACCAGAACTGGTGCCCATATGGGATGCCAGCACCTTTAGGCCAGAGCTTTAACCCGCTGTGCCACAGTGCCAGCCCCAATTTTCTGCATTTGAAACACAGTGACAGAGACAGTGAACAAGAGATCTTCCATCGGCTGGTCCATTCCCCAAATGGTGGCAATGACCAGATCTGGGCCACGCCAAAGACAGGACTCCATCTGAATCTCCCACATGGCCTCACGTGCCTAAGCTCGTGGGCCGTCTTCCACTGCATTCCCAGGCCATAGCAGAGAGCTGGATCAGAAGAGGAGCAGCTGGGACTTGAAACGGCACTCATATGGGATGCCGACATCAATGGTGGTGCCACAATGCCAGCCACTTTGGTGCATTTCTCTGATGGCAGTAAAGCCATAAAGACATCCCTTGTACCAAAGAGGAACAGGTTCCTTCGCAGCAAATTGTAATGTGGTTCATGACCATTCAACACCTAAGTGACGACTACAGAAACGAAGACTGAGTACACAGCACAGTGCAGTCATTAGGATTTTACTAAAACTCTGCGTACTCTTACTGCAGTCTTCTAACATCTGAATCATTCACCTAACGAACACGTGCTCCCAACACAGGCTGGAACTTAAGTTATAAAGGGGCTTCATGACGCTTGGAACTATCACTGTGCTACCACAGCACTTACAGAAGTCTAAATGAGCACGCAGGTTACGCCAGGTCACTGCAAACTCGGAGGTATGACGGGGCTCTGGCTCCAGCCCAGAGCACACCTGCCGTCTGCGGGGACATGTGTCCTCTCAGCACACAGAGCTGGACTCTCCTTCCCTGTTAGAAAGAAAAACTAGCCCTTTAGTCCAGTGGGGTTTAACAGCCGTGCTGGGAGGAGAGGGAGATGAGCAGCAAATGGTTTTCCACAATGGGAGATACGTTTGTTAGTCACTGAATTCACTTAACGGAAGTCCAACTAAGTATGCCACTGCTGTCATCATTCCAGAGAAATACTTGTTAATCTCCGATTGTTCGTGTTCATGGAAGCCGATGAGTACTTTCAGAAACAGTAACCACAGAGAACAGGCACGAAGCCCAACAGTGCTCACGTCTCGCGTAAAGATCCTGATGGACAGTCACAGGCCACTCGTGAAGTGACAAAGGAACTGTAACTTCTGTGTCTCAGTGAGAAGCATAAAGAATGATGTTCCGGGGCCGGTTCTGGCGTGGCGGGCACAGCTGCTGCCAGCAGTGCCGACACCCCATGTGGGCTCTGGTTCGAGTCCTGGCTGCTCCTCTTCTGATCCAGCTCCCTGCCGATGTGCCTGGGAGAGCAGCAGAAAATGGCCCAAGTGCTTAGGCCCCTATATCTAGTGGGAGACCTGGAAGAAGCTCCTGGTTTTGGATCTTTTGGGGAGTGAACCAGTGGATGGAAGACTCCTCCCTCCCTCCCTCCCCCTCTGCCTCTCTGTAACTCTGCCTTTCAAATAATAAATAAATTTTTTAAAAAAACAATAAAGATGTTCCAACCTTCAGATTTAAGCATACTTTAAAATCTGGCAGAACAAGCTTTAACTTTGTATTTTTTAAATCTTCTGTATATTATGATCTTTTCACATCTTAAAAAAAAATCCAAAACCTTTTCTAACTGTAGGGGAGACTGCTTCCCCCGGCGAGGTGAGCCAGCTCTCAGGGACAGTGGGGGCCTATCAGGATCCTGGCTTTGGTGCAGCACCAGCCAGTCTGGAGGCACGCCCAGGGCCAGGGACCAGCCTACCCGGGACTCACCACCACAAAGGCGAGAGCCCACTGAGGCGACCCAAGCCTCCACCCCCGTTCTGTTTCCCTAGCCGCGCTGGCCTCTACTGAGCACCGCCGAACCTCGCCTTTCCCCCACTCTGCTTCCTGCCTGCTGGCCACCCTGAGGCTTCTCGCCAGGCCCTTCGTGGTGTGGAAATGCACGGATAATCAACTTCTACTTCCTGAGCCTTCCCTGGGACTCCTCTTGTGGCGAATCCATGTGACCACCACATGACAGAACACATCTACGATCGCTATGTACTTTTGTTCTTAAGTTGCACGCACATTCAATAATTGGAATTTTAATTACCAGACTGAATTTTAAAACACTCTTATACACACTGGCATACACAATGCAAAAAGAAACCTTTCTCCATAGGTACTGGTAACTAACGGGTGCATTTCCGTGTCGCTCTTTTCCCAGCTGAGGTGAAGGAGGCTCACCAACAAGAACAGACGGGAAACACCCACCTGCGAAGGTGTGCTGGTGAGTTCCATCTTCTCCTGGGACTTCTCCTTGGCCAGCCGAGCAGCTTCTTTAAATTCCTGGAACTTCTCTGCAAACTGAAGGGGTAAGAACGATCTCCGTTAACCAGCCAAGGACAAGCCACAGCGCCCCTTTCTCCTCACTGCCATTTGTCTCCTCAACAGCTGGCTCCTACACAAGCAGAAGGGCCCCCAGATCAGCTACCCCTCCCTACACAAAACTGATGGAAAAGAAACCTAACACCACGCATCTGCTGGTGCACTGCTCAGACCCAGCAGGATCTAACTGAGTCAGGATTCAGTGCCAGCTACATACCTGTGTGCCTCCTTGATTGTCCAAAAAGTAATTCACCATGACTAAGATTTGGGGGAGGGGTGGAGCTAGGACCATTAAGGATAGGCAATCTATGTTTTGTTTACTATTGTGAAAATTGGATTTTCTAAGTATCCACTTATAATTACCACAATGCTGAGAAATGTTAACTTTTACTAAAATATGTAGTCTCATGTAAAGCATTTTATTTTCAACAATAAAAACAGTAAAATTTACTTAATCACTGACAACCAAAGATTCATTTCCAAAGATTTCTAACCAAAGAAACAGAAAGGAATACAATACTCCAAGGGGCCTTAAGAGACCTAACAACTCACTATCCATTTGTAGATGACCATAGGGAACTGTAAAACATAACCAGACCAGGAATAGCATCCTTGCATGTTTAACAAGACAGTTGAGCTATCACTATAATCAGTTAGGTCTACAAAACAACCATATTTTCTATGTACTTAAAACATTTGTTACAGTTGGAAATAAAAACATAAAAGCACAGTTCCCTTCTGAAACCCAAAGAGCAATTCAGATTCATTCCCATCTTTGGGAGGAACATTCTAGAAGGAAAAGTTCATGGTCCTCTGACCTGCCTCAGAGAGACGGGGCAGGATCACAGAGGAAAGCTGCCATCATCACAACTCTTCCTTAATGAAGACCCTGTCCCCTTCCCCCTGATCTGCCGATCAGGGAACTGAATGTGTGCCCCTACCCTACCTAAACAGAAAACTTCCTTACATTAAAAAAATCTGAATCTACAGGTCTCATTCACACTGGTCGAAAGGAAAAAAAAAAATTTACCCTTTTTTTTTTTTTTTTTTTTTTTGACAGGCAGAGTGGACAGTGAGAGAGAGAGACAGAGAGAGAAAGGTCTTCCTTTGCCGTTGGTTCACCCTCCAATGGCCGCCGCTGCAGCCGGCGCACCGCGCTGATCCTGGCAGGAGCCAGGAGCCAGGTGCTTTTCCTGGTCTCCCATGGGGTGCAGGGCCCAAGCACCTGGGCCATCCTCCACTGCACTCCCTGGCCATAGCAGAGAGCTGGCCTGGAAGAGGGGCAACCGGGACAGAATCCGGCGCCCCAACCGGGACTAGAACCCGGTGTGCCGGCGCCGCAAGGTGGAGGATTAGCCTATTGAGCCACGGCGCCGGCTCAGTATTTACCCTTTATATAATGTGAAATAGCACACAAGCTAAGTCTTATAATAATTTGGCATTCCAAAATAATTGCTTAAAGCTTCCTCAATGTCATAAAATACCCACACTATGGCTAATATTTTATAACCTTAGGCTTCAAAAAAATGTGAAGCCTTAGGTTTCCATGACAAAATACATGTTGTAAGCACTCCAAGAATTCAAGTACAGTTGGAACTTTGCTCACACCAGTCAACCTCAGGAGACCATACACTGCTTCCAACGATGCTGCCTTCACTTATTTTGAGAGGTCCTTGTCTTCCACTGCCTCTACAACCTTCTCTCAACCCCACATTACGCTTTCACTCACTCCTGGTTTCAATGATTAAAAAGCCCAAATATGTACACACTGGCTTCACTTGTGGAAAAGATTATAAACTCCTGTGGGTGCCCTGCAGTCTGCAACGCTCCAACGTTACTCTTCGAGGTAGCTTTACAATAAATCCCGATTTTTGTCATCTTTGAATCAAAACATTCTGTAGAGACTGATCTTAGCCTCTTAGAGCCTGGTCCAGTGATTAAACAAACCGGATCTGGCTCCAGAAGCTTAAGGGTAGCTCCCTTACACCAATCCACACTAAGACACTAGCATTCTCACCAGAAATAGGCTAAAAGCGGCTGCTAACTTTAAAAAGAAAAAAAAAGTCTTGAAAAACAAAGAGCCCATTTCCAGACTAAAGATCAAATACAAGACAGCTTGACTGACAGAATTTAATAACCGACCCCTTTAAGTGCATGAGCTAGCTGCTCGTAACTTGAAAGACTTCAATGAAGAACATAATTTACAGCCAGAATTACAGACTCAAAAATCATTTCATGCAAGTTTGAGAAATTAATCCACAATTTAGTTCATGCGTTTTAAAGTCAAGAAATTCAGCAAGTAGAATATACTTAAGATTTTTAAATTTCTTTTTCCTATATATAGGCTTTCATAGATAATTCCAAAAGCAAAGTTTCAAAAAAAACACGCTAGGTAATGGAAATATCGGAATAAACGGATCATTTCCCAAGGGGGTTGTGTATGGACGAGACTGGTACATCTGTCTTTGTCATGTTGAAATACTTCCAAATCAAAAACCCGTCCTTTTCCCACAGCTCAAGAAATGTATTTTGAGAATTTGATATGTGTAAGAGAAACCAAATTAGGTAAGAGCTGTTTGTTTGAATCATCCTCCACACAGTGATTTATAATCACACAAGGAAAAGGTAAAATTGTCTTAAATTTGAGCTCTAAATTATAATTTATATCCAAAAGGTAACAAAAATACTGAAGACAGCACTGTTAAGGGATGTTTAAATAAATCAGAAAAAAGGTAGATTATTTTAGCTACTGAACTATTTATACTTTCAAGGCAGTACACGCTCACAACAGGATGGCATTTCAAGAGGAACTTCTTTTCAGCAATCTGAACGGTTTCTGTAATTTCATGTAAATCTCAACAGTGTTTATCTGCTGGAGAAGATTCCCCAGCACTCAACAATCTCAACTCTGAAGACATCAGACCTCTGCGTGTACCAAACCACACGTAAACCGTTTCCTTTCAAGGGAGACCCTCAGACAGAGACTAAGCACAGACCTCAGTACCCGGGATGTGTGCTTTCCTTCCACTGTCTTTCCACATAACACACACAGAAAAAGTGACACTGGCAGGAACCATGCGTCGGTTTGCTTATAGGCAGAACACCCATGTCCAACTGTCCGCCTGGTAAGCGCTGCGTTTTACAGGTTTTTCTCGTCACAACTGGGCAGTATGATCCATGAACTCCCACGCTGTCTCACGGATCTCTGCACTGCAGCAGCAGAGAGCTCAGAGCACCCTGCTTTCAGGTCAAACTCGGCTCTCCCTGCACACCGTGACTTCCGTGTGTCTGCTATTGTGTCAGAAAGCGGAGATCGGTGCACCATCGGCTTGAGCTCTCACAACTCAGAAGCCTCGGTGTGCGCCTGTCCCGCACGTCACCTGCAGTGGAGGGTGCTCGTCCCTGAGTACCTTCTGCGCGGACAGTCCCCGCCTCTGACGTCCCACCAGAACGGCAGTTGATGCAAACCTTTCTCGATCAGTGGGGACGGCTTTCAGTGGGCAAAGTACACAGCAGAATGCAACGCTCAAGTCACTACAGTGGTCTGAGCTGGCGTGCAAATGTGCCCTGTATCTTACACGTTTCTGCTGCTATTGTTTAAGACACAGGACTTGAAGAGTTTCACGGGGATCTTACGGTTCTACTTACCTTGGAAAGATGATGCTCTGAGGAGAATCCCAGTCCATAAACAGTGTTTGCCCGACTGTCGGCCCACTGGCCGAACTTCTGAGACGTTTTGGTGAATGTCATGTTTGGGGTGATGGTGCTGTTGATTATTGCCTGAAAAGCAGAGAGAGTCGAGGAGCTGAGGACAATTTCCACACAGGGCCTCTCGGGTAACGTGAAACATGGCACGACGTTAAATGCGTAAAACAATCCCAGGAACAGTCGCTGCATTGTGATGGCGTAGAAACATGCCTGACTAATGGAACAATCAATATCATGACACTGTCCAGAATTTCAACCACTCACACCCAAGTCTGCCCATGATCAAAGAAGCTTCAGTTTTTACCAGAGTCCACTGCTTCCCTTTGAACATTCAGGATCAAAACTGACTAATTTTGAATGAATCTACTAGAAGGCGGCTTTAACGGTTGCTGATCTCACAGCAGGGTCCTACCCTCTAAAGCAGCTCTCAAAAATGAATCTATCAATACAGAAACTGATAATTGTCTACAATCCATAATCAAAAGTTTCCTTAAAGCTGACTTACCTGAAAAATGATACAGAGAAGATTTTCAATCACTCAGCACTTGTTCCTTCACTCAAAGAAGAATCAAACCCACAGACACATCACTTTCCTCACACAGCAGTATAGATTTGTGCTAAGGAGAACTGTTATCATTTCTATCCAACACAGATTCTTAAGGAACTATGATTCGTAGCATCTTATTAAATGTATCAACTTTGGTGATCACCATAGTCAATTTCAACTATTGTAACATCAATTCATGCAACTGCTAGTGCGGAGAAAGTGCCAATGCCCTCTAAAATTAACCCTAAAGACTGATTTAATAGAAAGACAAGTTAACAAATCCAAAAGCAGTCACTTGATGAACTAAATGTGTAATCAAAACCAAGCATTACCAGAACAAAGCCAAATGTATTTAATGTGTGAAAAACAGTATAAATAAAAATACTGATGAGCTATACAATTATTGATGAAACTATACCAAGGAATACATGACACTTCTGTTAAAAAAAGCGAAATAGAGAAGTCCTTTCCTTCCACAGACAGTACACGCATCATCTACTAGTCTATGAGAATCCTTACCCTCAATTAGGCATTTTTAATTTACATATTCATATACAAGTGCAGATACTCACTTATACATTCACATATAAGTTTATATATTCATATTTATGTAGTTTCTGTACCCTTCAGTTCAAAAACTGCTTTTCTGCACGTCATTTCAGATCTGCTGTAACTCAGGGGTGGGAGCTGTCACCAAATTAGAGACTAATGGAATTAAAAACGTTAAAGAACCACAAATGTATTCAACACGTTTGAGTGTCAGGCACAATTCTAGAAATCTGAGACGCAGCAAGAGAGGTAACGCCACCGTGAGCTGCGTTCTGCAGGCAGAGCAGTCAGTCAGAGCACAGCACGGCCGAGCGGGGTGGCAGAGCCGCAGGAGCAGGGAGGACCGGGCGCCAGGACGGGGAGCAGGCAGGCGGCAGAGGCTGGCAAGCTCGGGCTTAGGCCGTGTGTCCCTGCGAGGGCACCAGTGAGAGCTGGGTTCCAAGAGCACAGGCACTTCACGTGGGCCCCAGTGACTCTCAAGAAGCGGGTAAGCAACGCTTTTATGGGCATCTGAGAAAACTGGTCAATCTGCTATTGGTGACTTCCACGTTTTAACTATTACAAAATAACTTCTTTCTTTTTTTAAGTTAAAGAGTTCTATGTTTAATATGTATTCTGAACTTTCCCATACCCCTGTATTACTTTTTTAATCCTTGAAGAACGTTAAAATGATAAATGACCACATACTTTAAAAAGTGAATTTCTTAGGTAGGTCCTCTGAATAGATGCTACTATGAATCCGCTTAAAGAAAAATTCAGGGGCCCGCATTCCACATGGGTGCCGGTTCAAGCCCTGGCTGCTCCACTTCCAAACCATCTCCCTGCTAAGCTGCCTGGGAAAACAGTGGAAGGTAGCCCAGTTACTTGGATCCCTGCCACCACATAGAAAACCCGGAAGCAGCTCCTGGCTCCTGGCTGTGGCCTGGCCCAGCCCTGGTCATTGCTGCCATTTGGGGAGTAGCCAGCAGATCTCGTTCTCTGTCATTGTCTCTCTCTAACTCGGCCTTTCAAACAGGTAAATAAGTACTTTAAAAAAAATTTTTTTAGTCCTTTAATTTACTTAATCAAAATAAATGTCTCCCAGCCCCAGAATCCTTGTGCTTTTAAGGAAGGGAGGTACAAATGCTGTGTCATTATGATCACGTGGCGCCCTGATGTGGTCCGCGGCCATGCTGACGTGCCTGAGGCATGATCAGAACACAATCAAACTTCACAGGCACCGCACAGGCACTGAGTGAGAACAGCTGGGCACTGTCCAGTGGGGCACCCGCTGAGAGCAGCAGTGGAGGCGGCGGCAGGAAGGAGAAAAACACTCACGCGACCCAGTCAACGACACCACAACTGCCCACCAGAAACACCACCGCCGTAAGGACTGCAGGTGGTAACGTCGGTTTAGAAAAGCAGCCGACGGAAAACGTGAAACACAGAAATGTGGTAGAAAAGCCCGCTACAGAACCCAGCGCGTGTTAAGAGACGACACGGGAACCTCTCGCAGGAGTTAAGCAGTTAGGTCCACTTGGGAGTGGAAATGCCAGAATCCACAGTTCTTTTTGCTTCAGAAGAACACACGAGGATCCTTCAGTCACCAAAATGCTTCCCTTGAAAATAACTCAGAGCATTCTATCTGGTAAAGCCTGAGCTAGCAACAGCCATCTAGTTACTTTTTTACATATAGTTCTTATTCTTTGGCATGAACTATTTGATCATACCTTTATTTTTACATACCATTTTTTTTAAATTTTTTGACAGGCAGAGTTAAACAGTGAGACAGAGAGTGAGAGTGAGAGAGAGAGAGAGAGAGAGAGTTATAGACAGTGAGAAAGGTCTTCCTTCCGTTGGTTCACTCCCTTAATGGCTGCTATGGCCAGAGCTACACCAATCCGAAGCCAGGAGCCAGGTGCTTCTCCCAGTCTCCCATGAGGGTGCAGGGACCCAAGCACTTGGGCCATCCTCCACTGCCCTCCCGGGCCACAGCAGAGAGCTGGCCTGGAAGAGGAGCAACCAGGAGAGAATCCGGCACCCCAACCGGGACTAGAACCCAGGGTGCCAGCGCTGCAGGCGGAGGATTAGCCTAGTGAGCCACAGCGCCGGCCTTCATATACCATTTAATCCTATCTAATAAAACTGCATTTTATCTATGGTTTCAGCCAAGAGATGAACAGATTACATAGAGCTGAAGGTTCAAGTCAGGGAAAAGAAATAAATCCACAGTCTAGAATGTGAGATTATCATACTTACTATTTGTCACATTTCACTAAACCCAAGAACTACAAAATACGACAAAATTACTATTCACCAGGCAGCAAAGTGTCTAGCCTATCAGCTACGACATCACATCCCACCTCGCACGCCCGGTTTCATTCCCCGCACTGGCCCTGGACTGCAGCCCCCTGCAGATGCGGACCTGGGAGGCAGCGGTGATGGCTCAGCCCCGTGGATGATCTGGACTGTGCTCCTGTCCCAGCCCCAGCCCCAGCCCCAGCCGGCATTTAAGGAGTGAAATAGCATTTGGGAGCCTTTTCTCTAATAATTTTTTAAACTTACTCTTCATTAAACAGAGCTTCACAGAAATCAACTAGTTCTCAACTCCTTTAAGTCCTTCAACTAGAACTACTGAAAACATTGTCAACTGCTCAAGCTGAAGCATGCTAGTCCCTTCTGTATTGGACAGAAAGCGCACGCAGCCCCAGGGGTCCTGTAACTCGCTAGGGAGATAAGGTACAGCAAATAGACTGCATTTGCCATTCAATTAAATCATCTTCTATTTCCTTAAAGCCCATCAAGCAGTACACACTTAATTGCCCAATAACATTAACAATACGAATTACTGCACATACTCAATACTTTTGCCTAAATTTATTTACTCTTCACAAAAATCTTTTGTTTTAATGAAGTCTTTGGTTTTTAATTTTCAAAAATATTTATTTACTATTTGAAAGGCAGAGTGAAAGCAAGACACACACACACACACACACACACAGCTCCTTCTTACAGACGAAGAAACAGGCACACGCAGTGACAACGCTCACTCACTGTCCCAGGGCCAGCAAGCAGTGGTCAACACTCAAACCAGACGATCTGCTCCAGAGTGAGCTCTTGGCTCCCACACTCAGCTGCTAAAATTTGCAAGGATGTACAGGCCCATGGCCTAAGAAGGCTGGAAGACGACGGGAAGCCTTGTTTTTCTGAGTTCATATCCAGAACCTGATGTCTGGAATTTGCCTAAGTGAGTTATACAAAATCCCCTGATGACAGCATGGACTTCCCCCCTTTCCAAAAGGTTCAATATCCACCCAAGATTGATCTAAGTGCTTTGCAGATTTTTTATTAATTTTTAAAAGATTTATTTATTTATTTGAAAGAGTTACAAACAGAGAGGAATCTTCCATCTGCTGGTTCACTCCCCAGATGGTTGCAAGCAGGACTGGATCTGGCTGCAGCCAAGAGCCAGGACCTTCATCCAAGCCTCCCACGTGGGTGGCAGGGGCCCCACTACTTGGGCCATCTTCCGCTTTCCCAGGCATGCCGGGACTGGAACCTGGTGCTCATACAGGATGCCAGCAGTGCAGGCAGCAGCTTAGCCTGTGGTGCCACAGAACCGACCTCACTGTGTAGATGTCATCTCATCTTCACAACTATCCGCAGTGGGGTGACAGGAGGAAGCTCAGAGAAGGAACTCACCCAGTGTCAACACTCAGCAGGTGGAGGAGCTGAGATGTGAACCTCGGCAGTGCTTGCCCTGGGTTTAGACCACCCGCGCCTCCCAAAGATACCAACACGGCTGCGCCCCTCCGCTTCCCTTCTCTGAGCTGCAGTGTTGACACGGATGCACTTCACGTGATCTGGACATTCTGAACTGCTTACGCGTCCACAGAGGTGACTTGGAAAGAATTCTCACTCCTAGAATTCCAGACCACACCCATTCTGTTCCATACATTCTAGCACCAAACACAGTATCTGACACATCACAGACACGCAACGACTGCTAAACTGAACGACTGCTCTCTCTGCCCCTGATCTCACTGTCTCTTGATCTCTCTCTTACGCTCTCCTTCTCCCTCGTTTTCCTTCTTCGCCCCTTCTCTCCGGTCTGTGGAGTTTCCCCCAGTAAACCCTTTCCCTTACTCCGGTGTTTGGTGTTTTGTGGCGGCCTTACATTGGTGCCGCGACTCAGATCCAGGCTCCTCCAGTGACTCTGCTCTCCCTTCGAGGATCTCTGAGCGGCCTTGGGGTCCTGGATTTCTGCCAGTCACAAAGCACACCTCTGGAACTCCTTCCACACCAACAAACGCTTTGTGATCTCCATCCACACACCAGCCTTCCAAATCCTGAGTGTTTGCAGGAGTTGATAATGGAACGAACCAAGGCCTTCACCAACCTGACGGTCAACCAAATGCTGCTGCAGGGATATACTCGGTTCCCCACCCAGGAGACAGCGGCTTGAGACATCGCCCAAGCCAGAGAGCACCTCGTAGCCCCATGTCAGCAGGGAGTAGCTCTGAAGACAGATCACTGTCCCTCGATCCCTCCTGGACTTTGGGGGCTAATGTAATCCCATACAACTCTTGCTTTGTAAAAAACAAAAGTGGGGAATGTTACTAAAATGGCACAGTCTTATCCACGGTGCAATCTACATCCCAGACAACATCCTAGGCTCCAGCCCCCCACGCCACTGCTGGAAGCCAGGTGACCTCATGGCCCAATCACCGGTGTCAGCTCCAACCCTTCCTAATGGGATTCGCTGCTCCTACTTCCCTGCCCACCCCCCAGTAAAAGTTTAACAGGACCTGTTCCTGAACACGTGGCTCTCTCTTGATCTCTCTCTCTCTCTCTTCCCCCCTCTCTGTCACTTGATCTCTCTCGCTCTCTCCCTCTCTCGATCTCTCTCGTACACTCTTCCTTCTCCCTTTTTCCTTCTTTACCCCTTTTCTCCAGTCTGTTGGGTTTCCCCCAATAAACCCTTTCCCTTATAAAAAAATAAAATAAACTGAATGACCTCACCCAAGTGGAGTATTTTGGTATGCTACTCAACGTGACGAGGTGTTTGACCCAAGTACTTCAGAGGACAACAAATGTTGCTAGCCTAGTAATGATCGGCTTGGCTTCAGAAAATGTTTAAAATACAAAAGAAAATGCTTCATTTTAATGAAGCTAAAATCCCCTGAAAGAAGCTGGAATGCTGGACTGTACGGAGCAAAGCAGCCAGATTATTTAAAGATTATTTAAAGCAAGTGTAACTCACCTTTGAGCCGTCTAAGCTGATTATCCTGTACACATTCCTTGTGCTGTCGTAGAAGTAAGACACAGTCACTGCATGCTTGCTGGTGGGGACCCAGTTCTTCTTTGTGTTTGGGTCGATCTGGAAGACATGAGCTCGGGTGCTGAAGATAGGTTGCTCCCTGTCGAACAGAAAAGAAAATGATGAAATCAAAGCAGGCAGTGCTGGTCCGCCAGACAGGGAAACATGGAGACGCTGAGGGTGACTCTGCCGAGCCAAAAACTCCCGCACATCCGGAAATAAGAAACTTGCTTTCAAATTTGTAAATTCTAAGTCGTCGCTCTTTTACAGCTCAGTCTCCCTCATCACTGATTCTGTACATGCAAATCTACCCACTACTAACTTTATCTGTAACCGCAAAATCAACACTGGGGATACCGTCAGACTCTCACAGACAGGCATGCACACGGCGGCGGGAGAAGACGAGTCACCGGAGACGCGTGTTTGCACGAGGCTGAGCAGGATGGTACTCTGCCTTCTCGCTTCCAGCTTTCACTCTATTAACGATACTCTTCACTGTCTCTTTAGCACCACACTTTTCCCACTTTGCTACCTCCTGGTGGTGCCTCCCTTGGTTAAAGCTGCCTAGGAGCACAGGCCTGCAGCGAGCCCAAGGTGTGGTATGCGCCGAGGACCCAGAGGGCTGTGGGTTAGGTGAGCCTCACTCAGGCACGCGCTCAGCACTGAAGGCATCAATGGCCGGTATGAAGTGTGGTGCTTGACAGACACCCACAGCGGGGTGACAGCCTGGCTGGCTGATGAGAAGGCCGTGTGGCCTCGCATGCTGAACTCTGCCCAGGTGCAATGGCTCGGCAGGGGCTCAGTGTCCGCTCACCCCGGGTCACAGAGAGCCAGAGCCGACTGTCATCAATGCGCCCTGCCACGTCCCGGCATCTCTGAACTCCACCGGGTTCAGTTTCTACCCACCTAAAACTGAATTATTCTGCAGACAGGTAAATAACTGACTAGGAAAACTTATGTTCAATACAATCTCTACCATCCTGAAAAGTATATGGGAAAAAAACTCTCAAAACCACAGGTATCTTTTCTTTCTTTCTTTCTTTCTTTCTTTCTTTCTTTCTTTCTTTCTTTCTTTCTCTCTCTCTCTCTCTTTCTCTCTCTCTCTCTCTCTCTCTCTTTCTCTCTTTCTCTCTCTCTTTCTCTCTCTCTCTCTCTCTTTCTTTCTTTTTTTTTTTTACAGAGTTAGACAGTGAGAGAGAGACAAAGAAAAAGGTTCTCACTCCGCTGGTTCACCCCCCAGATGACCGCTATGGCTGGCATGCTGCGCCAAGCCGAAGCCAGGAGCCAGGTGCTTCTCTTGGTCTCCCATGTGGGTGGCAGGGCCCAAGCACTTGGGCCATCCTCCACTGCACTCCCGGGCCACAGCAGAGAGCTGGACTGGAAGAGGAGCAACCGGGACAGAATCTGGTGCCCCAACCGGGACTGGAACCCAGGGTGCCGGCACCGCAGGCGGAGGATTAGCCAAGTGAGCCACTGTGCTGGCCAAAACCACAGGTATCTTTTGGTTAGATCAGGAGGTCCTTAAAGATACAGATTTACAAATTACAAAGAACCAGAGGGACCGGTGCTGTGGTGCAGCGGGTAAAGCTGCCACCTGCAGCACAGGCATCCTGTAAGGGCACTGGTTCAAGTCCCGGCTGCTTCACTTCTGATCCAGCTCCCTGCTGATATCCTGGGAAAGCAACAGGGGATGGCCCAAGCGCTTGAGCCCCTGCATCTGTGTGCAGGACCTGTAGGAGGCCTCTGGCTCCTGGCTTTGGCTTGGCCAGGCCTGTCCATTGTGACCACTTGGGGAGTAAACCAGCGGATGGAAGACTTTTCTAACTCTACCTTTCAAAAAAATAAAAAATAATTTAAAAAAAAAACACAAACTTCTCAAAAAAAAAAAACTCTTTGAGAAGTAACATTTGTCAAGCCTTTAATAAACAAAAAACAGAAAGACCAAATAAAGCTCATCTCTCTCTTTTTACCACCTATCTTTCCTTTCTAAATCAGCTCAAGGTCCTAAAGAGAATTCTAGTAATATTTTGTTTAAAATTAAATAAATTTTAAATCTTACTGTGTAGAATTCAAATTCTTTATTTTTTTAAGGACGTAAAGCTGCATATAGAAAAGAGAGAAATTAGAAAATCAGGCGAGGGAGGACGAATCTGGGACCGTGAGAAAACTGCCCCTCAGCTTCGTAATAAAGAGCAGGGTGTCTCAGTCTGCCACGTCCCAGCAGCCCCAGAGCCGATGTGAGGGAGGGCTGCAGATAAGCCGGCCCTCTCCCAGATTCACTTCTAGAAAACTGTAGTACAGCTTTCCTCTCCCAGCAGTCTCTTCTGGAAGGCAACGATACCTTTTACATTACTCTCTAGTAACTGCAGCTCCGAGTGAGGGCTCCTTGCTGAACTGCCACTGCACACGGACCGGTTTAACAAATCACCATTATCAACCTGGCACGGCACCGTGCTGGGGTGAAGAATTCTGAATTGGGAGCAGTTTTACTCACAACTCCTTTCCCTGTCCTCCATCTGTGATGCCAGTGCTACAGCGGTCTACCAAAGCCCTATAACCCCTGTTTTAGGTAAACGTGTAGCTGGTCCCACTGACCATGTCCAGCTCCAGTTCACAGCAAATCCTTTTCACCAATAATTCCACTAAGGCACACAGGAAAGGGGTGGGACCCCTGACCAGCTTGATCATTTTTCTTTGTTTTCACTTGATAACAGTTAAATTTCTATACCAAAGCAGGCTAGTGAATACAGAAACATGCTTTTAAAAGCATATATTCTAAAAATTAAAAGCATATGTTCTAAAAATTAAGTTATTAAGATAATGATATTGGGGATGGTGTTGTGGCATAGAAGGTTAAGCCTCCACCTGTAATGCCAACAACCTATACGCATGCCGGTTCGAGTCCTGGATGCTCCACTTCCAATCCAGTTCCCTACTAATGCCTCTGGGAAGGCAGTGGAAGATGGTCCAAGTACTTGGGTTTCTGCTCCCATGTGGGAGACCCAGAAGAAACTCCTGGTTCCCAGCTCCAGCCTGGCCCAGCCCTGGACTTTACTCCATTCATGGAGTGACCCAGCGAAGCTCTCTCTCCCCTTCTCCCCTTCTCCCCTTCTCCCCTTCTCTCTCTCTCTCTCTCTCTCTCTCTCTCTCTCTCTCCTTCTCTCTGGATTTCTTTCAAATACACAAAATTTCAAAAAAAGAAAAAGGATAATATTGGATTGTAAGCTTCATATGACCAATCAACAAATCCTCACTCGACAGAAATACAATGTCTTGAGTCCATATTTCTATATATTAATTTCAGAATTTAATTGATCCACTCAATTTACTCCCTTTCAGCATAAAAATCTTTACAGTGAACTAGCTATTTTAAAAGTAAACGAAGGGCCAGCACTGTGGCGCAGCAGGTTAACGCCCTGGCCTGAAGCACTGGCATTCCATATGGGCGCAAGTTTGAGACCCGGCTGCTCCACTTCCAATACAGCTCTCTGCTATGGCCTGGGAAGGCAGTGGAGGATGGCCCAAGTCCTTGGGCCCCTGCACCTGTATGGGAGACCCAAAAGAAGCTCCTGGCTCCTGGCTTCAGATCAGCGCAGATCCAGCCATTGTGGCCAATAGGGGAGTGAACCAGCAGATGGAAGACCTCCCTCTCTCTTTCCTCTCTCTAACTCTGACTTGCAAATAAATAAATAAATCTTTTTAAAAATTTTAAATAAATAAAAGCAAACGACATTTGGAGCCAGTGCTGTGGCACAGCAGATTAAGCCACAGCTTGCGAAGCCAGCATCCCATATGAAGAGATTCAACTCAAGCCGGCACTGCGGCTCACTTGGCTAATCCTCTGCCTGCGGCGCTGGCATCCAATATGGGCACCAGGTTCTAGTCCCGGTTGCTCCTCTTCCAGTCCAGCTCTCTGCTGTGGCCCTGGAGAGCAGTGGAGGATGGCCCAAGTGCTTAGGCCCCTGCACCCGAGTGGGAGACCAGGAGAAGCACCTGGCTCCTGGCTTTGGATTAACGCAGCGCTGGCTGTGGCGGCCATTTGGGGGGTGAACCAACAGAAGGAAGACCTTTCTGTCTGTCTCTCACTGTCTAACTCTGTCAAATAAATTTAAAAAAAAGAGATAGAGAGCTCCAACTCAAGTTCTAGTTGCTCTGCTTCCAATCCAGCTCCCTGCTAATGGGCCTGGGAAAGCAGTGGATGCCACCCACAGAGGAGACCTAGATGGAGTTCTCAGCTCCTGGCTTTGACCTGGCCCAGCCTCAGCTGTTGTGGCTATTTGAGGAGTGAACCAACAGATGGAAGACCTCTTTCTCCATCACTGTGCCTTTCAAATAAATAAAAACTATTTTACTTTTAAAATAAAAAAGCAAATGACAGGGTCATCGTTATGCCATAGTGGATAAAGCTGCTTCCTGTGACACTGGTATCACATATGGGTGACAGTTCAAGTCCTGCTTTCTCCACTTATAATCCAGCTCCCTGCTAATGGCCTAGAAAAGCAGCAGAAGATGGACCAAATGTTGGATCCCTGCCACCCAGGTGGAAGACTTGGAAGAAGCTCCTGGCTTCAGCCTGGTCCAGTTCTGGGCATTGTGGCCATCTGGGGAGTGAACCAGCAGAGGAAGCATGCTCTCTTTGACTTCCAAATAAATCAATCTTTCTTTCTTTCCTTTTTTTTTTTTTTTTTTTTTGGACAGGCAGAGTGGATAGTGAGAGACAGAGACAGAGAGAAAGGTCTTCCTTTTTGCCGTTGGTTCACCCTCCAATGGCCACCACGGCTGGCGCGCTGCGGCTGGTGCATCGCGCTGATCCGAAGGCAGGAGCCAGGTGCTTCTCCTGGTCTCCCATGGGGTGCAGGGCCCAAGCACTTGGGCCATCCTCCACTGCACTCCCTGGCCACAGCAGAGAGCTGGCCTGGAAGAGGGGCAACCGGGACAGAATCCGGCGCCCCGACAGGGACTAGAACCCGGTATGCCGGCACCGCAAGGCGGAGGATTAGCCTAGTGAGCTGCGGTGCTGGCCTAATCTTTCAAAAAAAAAAAAAAAAAAGCCAATGACGATTGAGTATCAACTATGAATATTGCTGTCTTTAATTCTCT